TCCGTTGACTGGAAGTAGTAATTTACGCTACTTCCGATTCTCAAAAAACTAATGTAAATTTTTAAAGTACTAATAATATTGCGCACTATTATACGCGTTTTTATTCGGCGTTTGCTTGGTGCGCAATGTTTTTTTTATGAGATTCTATTCTATTTTTAAAAGTTTAAGTATTTAAAATGGATTAAAAATCATAACTATATCCCCAGTTACCATCCCCTGTTGTTTTATATAAGAATATTCGAGAAAGTTTAGGGGAGATCACTACCGGTTTATTAGTTTCCCTATTGTATTGTTATATTTATTTCCCTTCAGAGATTTTTTTGTCCTTCTTTATGCCTTTATTTATATCGTTTATTTGTTTCTCAGTCATAATATCTTTGTGGTGCGCTAAGACGTGGTGAAAGTTGTTATATTTTGGGAGGACTTCACCACAGAAAATACATCTGGAGAGAGATGTGTAATGCTTTTCTTCGTAGTGTTTAGAAATAGCATCGTGGATTATTCCATCGTTGCAGGTGGTGGCATTGCTTGAATTCCTGATGTTCTGTAGCTTCGTGATGCATTAGTTCCTCGAGTGTTTGGTGCGAGTTAAGGCAGTAGTTACATGTGAGGGGGTTTTTGATTTGCTTTGCGTGTTTTTTTCTTTAGTTGTTTTCCCTAATTCAGTGGGGCTGGTTTGGTTTTTTTCTTTTCATTGACGAGCTAGTTTCCATTTCTGAGGCTAGGTTTGTTGTTGAAGGTTTTTTGTAGGTTGCTGTTTTAATGTTTGACATAATGCTTCCTTCATAATAAGACGGTCAAAAGATATGAAGCATGAAAGCTTTGTATGTGTAATGGTTTCTCGACTGATGTTTATTTTTATGTTTTTTTTGTATTTATATTATTAGTTTTTAATACATTTCCTTTTTACACTATATCATTCTTTATAAGTTATTTTTTTTAAATAATAATTAAGAGAAGTAATTGCTTTTTAATTTGTTTAGTGCAGATATATTAAATGTTTTTTAAGAACACGCATATTTGGCTATTTAAAAAAGGGAAATAAGTCATGGAAGTGGTTTGAACGTTTGCCTATCTTTCACACTAAAACTCATGTAGCCTATATATTTTTGTTCCTTTACGAAACAGCGTACTGTAGAACATCACTACTGTAGTAGATATGTTTGCTTTTTCTCAATAAAACTATTTTTTAACTATAAAACAATTGATTATGGTCGGCTCTGGGCCCCTAAACGGCCTGGGCCCCACCGCATTGCGGGGTCTGGCGGCACTGTAGTTCCGCCCCTGCTTAGTTATGGCTTAAAATGATGGTAAACATAATGGTTTTGTTAGGGCCACTTTGGTGGAGTTTCCTTTAAAAATGAGAAAATTGTTTCGCCACGAAAAATTAAATTTCCTGCAAAAAAATCCACTATCAAAATCAAATAGTCTAAAGCTATACACACGCTAAGGGGGTCGTCCATAAATGACGTCACACTCGTAGGGGGGAGGGGGGTCCGTAATTTTGTGACGGTGTGTGGTGAAGGGGAGGGGGGGGGTCAGATGGTGTGACGTCACACTTTTGCATTCTAAAAAAGAAATGTTAGATAACGAATTTTAGACGTTATTTCGCGTTTTAGACAACTGTTTTAATACATAGGAATTGATCAAAATACTCTATGTTGACGGAGTTCAGACAAAATTTTGGAAAAAATATCGATGTTTTAAGAAAAATTCAACTGCAATTTTGAGGGGGGTTGTAGGCTGAGGTGTGACGTCATTTTAGGGGGGGGGGGGGTCAGGCTTTTTGTGACGGCGTGTGACGGAGGGGAGGGGGGGGGTTAAAATCGTCCAAAAAAGCGTGACGTCATTTATGGATGACCCCCTTAACATTATTGTAGACATTAACGTTTGTGTTTAGTTACAGTAAAGAAGGTGGTCTTAGTTACGGTGTAACATGATGGTAAACATATTGGTTGTCTTAGGGCCACTTTGAAACAGCTTCTTTAAAAATAAGAAAATTGTTTCGCCACGAAAACTTAAATATAAATATTCACGATCAAATCCGCGATCAAAATCAAATCCTTGATTAGTAAAACAAAGTCTAAAGCTATACACACACTAAACCTCGAATATGTACTTCATAGGGTTAGACCTTTAAGACGTTTATCTTTAGTATTTACAATTAATACAAAATATAACGTACATTTTTTTTTACACTTTCACAGGTCGATACTTGTACATCGAATCTTCCAGGCCTCGTATGATGGGCAACAGGGCCAGACTTAACACACTGTCATTGGAGTGAGTACTTCAAATCATTAAATAATGTCGTTAATTAAACAGCTAGATCTTCTTGATGAGATGGGTTTTTTTCTGGGAATCATAAACTCGAGCTCCCGATTTGATTTCAAGACGTTCGTAATCTTAAAAGAATGCAAGCGTCACAGTTGGTAGATCTCCGAAAATCTTTGAGAGTTGGGCTGGCAAATGTTCGGTTGTTTTCATCTAGTTCTTGTACAACTGTAACTGTTTTTGTATAATAATTTCATAATCACTTCTAAACTTTCACTCAGTGTTTCTTCAGGGCGCACCCCATCCCACCCCACCAGTGTTTCTTCCAGACTTTTTTCTCCGGGGGGGGGGGGGCACTTGAAATTTTCGGGGGGGGGGGCGGTAGACTTTCTTCGGGGGGGGGGGGCGGACACTGTTAAAAGTATATATTTTATATTTTCTATACAAATTATATAAATTTCATTTCGTTCGCGGGGGGCGGTTAAAATTTTTCGGGGGGGGGGGGGGGGGGGGGGCTAAGCCCCCCCCCCCCCCCCGAAGAGATGCCTGGAAGAAACTCTGCACCCCACCCCCGATTCATGTCTACCGCCAACCTGAATGAAACATAATTATACATAAATTATATACTTTTATATAAATGATATACTTTTACCAGTGTCCAGCCCCCCCCCCCCCCTCCAACGGAAAATTTATTCCGCCCCCCCCCCCCCGGACTATGTCTGGCCATGATTCCCATTTATTTAGTCGTCCCATATTTAAAAGTCTAGTAGGCCCTAAAACTATGACAGCATATAGATGAGATCCCTTTTTTAAAAGTCTAGTAGGCCCTAAAACTATGACAGCATATAGATGAGATCCCATTTTTAAAAGTCTAGTAGGCCCTAAAACTATGACAGCATATAGATGAGATCCCATTTTTAAAAGTCTAGTAGGCCCTAAAACTATGACAGCATATAGATGAGATCCCATTTTTAAAAGTCTAGTAGGCGCTAAAACTATGACAGCATATAGATGAGATCCCATTTCTAAAAGACTAGTAGGCCCTAAAACTATAACAGCACATGGATGAGAAGGTGTAACCAACCCCGATGGAATCCTATTTCGGCACCTTTTCAGACCTGACAGAAACAGGTGAAGTAGAGTTCATAACCTTGGTTTTCCATTGAAATGTGTGGTCAGAAACATACCCAATTACCTTTACTCTCCCCCGTTTATGCCCGGTACTGGTCAGGGCTGAGTGAGCTCCAATACTGTCCTGAGTTCGGGAAGCGACACCGAGGCTTAATGCATGGGACCCGCTCGACCAATGTGTTGATAGCGCTTACAAAAGCTGCAAGGCTAAAACATCTCACTTGGTCGCTTTAAATAACAGCAACCATGTTTATCGAGGCATTTGTTAAAATTGTTGATCGCGCTGCTTAATTTTTTTACTGCTAGGTCTTTTTAAAAAAATTGGGCCGACACAGTGTAATTCATTATTCAAATTTACTGTACAGTTCAAATTTCGCGCTTTCTATGATTTTTGGAAAGAATAAGAACTTTCGTGCTCCCTATTTTAAAAAAAAGATAATAATTACTATTGATCGCGTTAACGTTATTTTTAATAATCTTCCTTTAAAATGCATTAAGAATGTAAAACTTCATCCACCCAGTTTAAAGGAGAAGTCAAGCGATGCCTATCCTTCTACTATCACATGTTTGGTGAGCACATTGGAACACTAACGGTCAAGCTGACCAACGTCCTGTCAGCCACTGAGCTCGTCCTATGGGCAGCATCGGGTGACCAAGGAAATAGATGGCACATCAAGGAGTTGGAGTACAACGCGCAAGAAGCGTATCAGGTAGGCAACTGGCCAGATTGCTTTCTTTACAAGGGAGGCAACTGATTTAATTTAATTAAATTTAGGGTTGCTCTTTAGTTATATCCCTTTACAAGGGGAACTGTTTTTGTTATATTTAAATAAAAAATTATTATTAATATGAAGTAGGTTCTTAACTTACTGTACTTCACTTCCAGTTTATATGCATCATGTAGTAAGGTAACTGGATGTAATGTAGAGAGCCTTCATTTAAGTTTCATTAATTTTTAAAGATTTCATTTGATGGGACAGTCGGCCCCAGCTACAGAGGAGATATTGCTATTGATAACATTGCCATCACTGAGGGTGGATGCCTTAGTAAGTACTATAACTATACCAGTACCACTAGTTTAGAATGTTATTAAAAATTACATTACCCTTAAGCTGAATTACTAGTGTAAGCTTACAATAAAATGACTTACTTTTTTTATGGGACAACAATGTCTCTCAATCCCAGCTAACCCATAATTAAAGATTACGTTTGCTGGTTCCCTAATATAAAACTCGATCTTTGCAGGTTCCCTAATTTAAAGGTCCATATTTATTATTTACAAGTTCCCTAGTTTAATGGTCCATAATTGCAGGTTTCCTAATTTAACACTCCATGTTTTTTAGGTTCCCTTATTTAACACTCCATGTTTGCAGGTTCCCTTATTTAACACTCCATGTTTGCAGGTTTCCTTATTTAACACTCCATGTTTGTAGGTTCCCTAATTTAACACTCTGTGTTTACCGGTTCCCTTATTTAACACTCCATGTTTGCAGGTTCCCTAATTTAACACTCCATATTTGCAGGTTCCCTAATTTAACACTCCATGTTCGCAGGTTCCCTGCAGGTCAACTGCAGCTTCACCCACAGCCTGTGTGGGTGGGTGAATGCACCCGCACCAGGGGACATACTGGACTGGACCAGACACAGGGGGGAGACAGAGACCCCAGACACTGGACCCCTATCTGACAGGCTCGGCCCCAGTGAGTAGTTTTCTTTTATTCTCATGCAAGCCTCAAGCTAATTTAAAATAGGCAGTTTAGTGATACAAATTATCATTTCGCAAATTAGTTTTAAAAAAAAAATGAATCAAAGCACAAACAGGCTTATTGCATTTACAGTACTGTTCCGTTCAGCACTAGGATTTTTTCCCCACAATGTCCTGTCAGTATATTAAGTATGCTGTAGATCAGAATTGCTAATCACAAATTTTATTTCAAATGCTGGTGTAGTTTTTATTAATTCATAACTGTTGTTTTAATGTTCTTGTTACTTTATTATAAAGTAAAATCAGTTAAACGTAATGAATGGCTTTCCAGATGGTTATTATGTGTACGTGGAGTCTTCAAGAACAACACTGGGGGACATGGCTCGCCTGGTCTCTCCCACTATCAGAAGTTCTCTGACAGGCTACTGTTTCACCTTCTGGTACCACATGTACGGCAGAACTGTGGGCAACTTGACCGTGTCCAGTCAGTCCAGCAATGGTCGTGAGACTGTCTTGTGGAGCAAGCTGGGTGACCAGGGAAATAGCTGGCACTCAGGGTATATCAATATCACATCAAACATCACCAGTAGCCAGAGCTTTAAGGTGAGACACATTTTAAGGGAAGCTACTCTAATTGTTTCACAATTTATCTACAAGTCTTGAACCGAAATGATTAAATAGAAAGTTTTAAATAAAAATAATTTTAAAAATTAAATTTGTGAATTGTTAGACAAAAAAAAAAAATTTTTGCGAATTAACTCTAAGATAGAACCATATTACTGCTGTTAAAAATGTATCTAGATTCAAATTTAATGACTTTTTTAATTTTCCATTTTTAGATTGTGTTTGAAGCCACCATGGTGGGCTTTTCTGGTGATGTTGCTATAGATGATGTTAGCTTACAAGAATCACTTTGCAACCAAAGATAATACACCCGACCCAAGACAATATTTCGACTACCCCAGAATAAATGGCATAAACTTTATCCCAGCCTGACTGGGTACAATTGGTTGATTGGATTTCACCTTGTGACATTTTGACCATGTACAACTGATAATTTTCTAACCGGTACCTCAAGTACATGGGCTCAATGTTTGCCAAAGTCTACAACATATAGCTGTGTTACAGTGTGTTTGTGGCATATAATGTTCATTCCCGGAATTCATTTGTACTAGAACAGAATTTCTGATAAGAGACATTGTTACGTATTACATAATAAACTTACATTGCCTGAAGAGATTATCTATCATATAAATGTTAAAATTCACCCAGACATATAGTAAAATTAAAAGAAATTCACAAAATTATTATTTATTATATAAATTAATATGCATAACTAGTTATAAAGTATTTTAGTAGAGAAATGTACTTACTCGGTTTAGTTAAATAGAAAAGTAACAGACATTTGTTTTAAAAGCAAGTTCTTTCAATTATTTACTTCTCAGAATCAACCTAGAGACTCAAATTTCTTTATTAAATAAACAAGACAACAACTGTAACATCAATTAATTAGTGCAAGGTCTCAAGTTAAAATATACACGTAGATTTTTTTTTTAAATAGAATATTTATAATTAAATTAGAATTATCTCCATCTAACATTTTGTTTTCATTCAACAGTGCCCATTTTGTTCAAAATAGTTACAGGTTTACTTTCTAAAATTTGATTGCTTTTCATTATATGTTGTCTGTCTTGTACTTATTTAAAAACAATCTGTTCACAAGTTCATCTTTAAATAGACCAGCCACCATTTGTTGATTCTTGTATTACTCAGACCAAAATAATGCGTTGAATGTTCCAGCCATATTACTTTTTATCATTTTAACATGTCTTCCACACAAAGAAAATAAGTTATTTAGTATGTCTATATTTTTCTATCAGTTAAAATCTGACCATATATACTATTTTATACTAGTTATAACCTAAGACGAACAGCTGTTGAAAATGTGTTTGGAGTGTACAGCCACATATATTTAACAGTTGATAAACATAATCTTCTCTGATTATAAACATGGCCAGTTGATTTTGTTTCCTGTTGTTCAGCAGTAAAATAATTATTTTTGTAAATAGTTTCCAAATATGCTGATAATAGCATATATTATTCTACCAATTGAATACCAGATATTGAAGACAAGGCTTTTCACGGACTGCTAATTAAATATTTCACCTTTCCATTAAACTAATCTTACTCTGGTTTCTGACAATGGTCACCTGACCTATTTTACTGTACATATTACACTCTAGTTTTCACCATACAGTGAAGAAATCTGTCATGTGTGAAGATGTTAAATGAAATTGTTTTCAAGCTTTCATTGTATACATATATATATATTTGGATTGTGCATCTGTCATTTTGATATTCAGTGACATGGTCTAGTTACAAGATTTTGTAAATTATTTTATTGAATAAAATGTATTTATGTTTGATTAGTAATTACTACTTGTTCTTTTTTAACATTACAGAAGGCTTATTACTTTAGCCATCAAATTAAAAATCAAACAATATTTTTTAAAAATTTAAATTTCAACAAAGAAAAAAGATGCAAAAATAAAAGTTAATTTAAAATGTTTATTTTTCACTAGCTTCCCAACAAAATTAAAATCTTTAATTTATAATTTAACACCCTTGAGGGGTGATAATACTAAATACCCATGAAATGAAAGATAAAATACACATTTTAAATTGTAAGATATAAATAGCAAAGCCAGACCTGCTTTTTAAAAATTGGGTATAACTATACACTGATCAATTGAAACTTTAGTAGCCTTAAGAATGTCTAACTTTGGGTCATTTTTTACATCATGTATACAGTTCTTTTAGCTCCAATTACACAAGTTCTTCATCATGAAGAAAAATATTCAAGCTGTCTCAAATCAATTTTTACTTTTCGACTTCATCTGAAAAAGTAAAAAATTTAAATTTAAAAAAATAATTCAAAACATTCTCTTTTGAGTAAATAATAAAATCTACAAACTTAATGATAAATAATTTACCATCATCATCATCGTCTGAATCATCATCTGAATCATCGTCATCATCATCATCGTCGTCATCTTCATCCTCATCTGACTCAAAAGTGTGATCAGGAATATCATAGATCCTAACAACAGGCTGCAAGAAAATTAGTTATACATTGATAATTTTTCAAATGTAAATACTATACTACACAAAAAATGAGTAAAAAACAAAACAATGAATGGAATGATTTAGCTTGCTAGAACTAGTTAGTTGTTTCATTCTGTATAAATTAGGAAAAGACAGATAAGTTTATGTAAACTGAATATTTCTGAGACTTGAATGTAGATTTAAAGTAGCTTAGTCTTTAAGAGAGTAGTGGTCATAAACTCTATACATTGAACTGTTTCATTAAACCTTTACAGGCCTATACAGTCACCCTAGTGGTTCATTTTCTATTTTTCTAAAGTTACGAATTTTTCCCCTCAAAATTACAGGCAATATAATTAGTGAAATCAAATCTAATTAAAATGCCTGAACCTCGGAATTGGGCTTTATTTATAATGTAACTATTGGAAAAGAAAGTAGCTCCAGTGACTAGTGTTTTGTTTACGTTTTTCTGGGATTATTGTTATTTTTATTAATTATTAGTAAATTATTTAGCCATTTAATCTCATGCATAATAAACTTAGTCCCATTTTGTGAATATTGCTTTTATTTTAACGTAAGTGGATATTTTAATAAAAATATTTTTAAAAGTGTCGTGGTTGAAAAATGTTTCGTCTTTTCACCGGCCATAGTTTTGATGACCAGGCCGGTAAATGGTTAAATATCAAATGCTAAAATCAACAGTTCATGACAGCATCAAAAAAATGTATTTACCTTGTTTGGATCTTTCATGATGAGATATTTGCCTTCTTTCAGTTTCATACACGTGTCCACAATACATCTTAGAATACCCCAAGCATTATCCATGTTCAAGTTGATCTGACTGGCAAATTCTACAGGCTTAAACTGTTGGGTTCCAAGTAGCACATGCTTGGCTGTGTCTTTCACGTGTAACCGAGACACATATCTAGGATTAAAAAGAAAAACAAAACACTGAAAAATCTTTTCATTACAAGAGCAATATCAATAATTTTTTCAAGTTTTTAAACGTAACAATTTTAAGTGCGAAGATGCTATCTTACCCAAATTTAATCTGGTCAGATCCTGCCAACAAAGCACTGACAGTCCATTTGGCTAATTTACAACTATTGTTTTTAAGTTCAGTGGCAAGAACAGCACCTCTCTGGCTGTCTAAACGACTGCGCCAATCAACACCACCAGAAAACTGAGGGATTAAAAAAAGTATGTTTAATTTAATATGTATCAGAAAGACTAAAAACAAAAAAATCAATACAAAAAAACTTTGATGTAGAAAACAAAACAAGCAATACCATAAGTTAAATTTTAAACCTAAAACACTCTAAAACAGGATTTTAATATACCAAAAAAACATAGAATAAAAATGTCGAGATTTGCATGCATCATGTATCTTTACCTACCCTTGAATCCCATTCATTTAGAGACTTGATATTCATAAATTGAATTTCATTATTGGGACCATTTGTCACAGCATCATGCTCTGTTCGAGCTATCAAGACAATATCATTACCAAGATCCCATTTACGATACCTAGATTTAAAAAAAATTAAAACATGGAATAATATATTAAGTGCTTTTTAAATATAAATATACACAAAATAAAAATTAATATTCTAACAAAACCACAAAGAAAATATATCTCTAAGTAGTTCAGCCACCAAACTAACTTAGTAAATTATAAATCCAAGTGCACTAACCTGTATCCAACAGATGCTACTTCTGAATCATCAGCACCTTGGATGAAGGGATTGGGCTTCTCAAAGCTGTATTTTTCCTCATTCTGGGTAACAAAAATGAAAAGAACAATTTATTACATCACAGATAATTAGTAATTAGTAAAACATTTCAAATTCAATAGGCCTTATTATGATAGAAACAACACAATGTAACCAAGCTCTTAAGAGAGAATTATAAAGATGGAACTTTAAGTATATAAAAACATATCAATACTCACCATTCTCAAAACTTGCTGAGAAAAGTTGTGGTTAATAAAAGTTGCCTCAAGAGCTAAACTACGAGGGGAGTTGATGCTAGCACTGCCATCTTCTTGTGGGGGTTCTGTTGCTGTCTCACTTACAGTGAGAAGATCAAAGTCAGAGTCATCACGTTTGTCAAAGAATAACTTGTTTCCAACACGCTGGACAACAACATCCCAGGAATAGGATGAGCGGGGGCAACACATCATTGTTGCTAATATAGCATCGGTTGCAAACACATTTCCTTGGCTTTTAGCCAACTGTAAAACAAAATGCGATGAACCAATAAGCTTTGTGTTATCTGATTTTTCAACATCTTAACCAATATTTTTCGGTGACTTGTTACATCAGTTGTCTAGTAAATATTTCTTAGTGAAATGAAAATTTTAGAGAGTGCTTCTAGAGAAACAAGCAGTAATAACGTTATTTATAATAAAAATTTTTTTTAAATTTATAGCATCCCCAAAACTTTTAAGTGACCGAATTGTGTACAATATAGAAGTTTATGACATCTGACTAAAAAGGTTAACATGAATAATATTGCAAGAAAAAGTGTTAACTATTTAGCTTGGTTTAAAAATGTACCCCAATTGACAGTACACATTTTTAAAAATCTGTTACCTTAGTTACACTACTCTAGGTTAAAAGGCTAGTTACCATATTCATACCAATCGATTTTTATGTAAGTGCCTTATTAATTGAACACATTACCTGTCTAATGATGGGATCATCTGTTGTGGTAACCTTGTGAAAAATTCGGTTAATCCTTTTCAACCGTTTTTCATTTTTAGTTGTGACTCTGTCATAAGTTTTGTCATAAAACTCCATGGAGCCACATGTCATCCTACACAAAAAAAAAAAAACAAAGTGTATTGATAAAACTTACCTCAATAGCATATTGAAAAAAAAAAAAAATCAACATGCAAATATGTGTCCACTACTGGGTTGGAGACAATAGTATATACTTACAAATCTTCTCCTTCTTTAATATCAGGAAGATTTAGCTTTGTCAGTCGTGGGAAATCCATCTCTTCAACTACGACCCAATCATCCTTGATTTGCACAGATGCGTCACGGTTTCTAATGGGCATCTTGCTTCTATTCTCCTGCATTTGTTTACCAAATTGTTTCTGCCATTTTTTAAGCAGTCGCTGCCTATCCCTCTCACGATTCTTTTGAGTCTTGGTAAGAACAAGCATGTTAGCTTGAGTTTGCTGCTGGCGGCGTTCTCTATCCCTGCGCTGACGATTCTAAAAATGAAAATAATGATAGAGATTTTATACTTTCAGTAAAACCTGAACTATGGTCTGCCTGTACTTCCCGTAACCCCACCCATAATATGTCAGAATACTTGCATCGTCAAATTTACATAGATCCATCGGATAACATAGCTTTCTGCATAAAAGCAAACAATTACCCCACCCTTCCAACTAACATTTGATACCATAGCAAGCTGAGTGTATACAAAAGCAGCCGCCAAGTTCAACTTTCTTTGTTTTCCCTTAAAATTTTATAAATGCATGCATGGATTTTTAATTAAAGAATCTCAATATATAAACATTCAAATTAATTAGTAAGTTTAAGCAGGGGACAGTCGTGAGTTCATTCCCAAGCTCTCGACTCTAGGTCATCCCTTGCCTGAACTGCCCTAATTGTGTAAACCAGATGGTGTAATGCACTGAAGGAGGAAGCAAAACCCTGACAGAAACCCACATATCTAGGGGTTGATAACGTGGGTGAGAGAAATGCTCAATTCTTAACCCTGGCTAAAGAGCACAAGATTGAGCCAGTAATAACCTTATATGAGAAAGTTCTATTAGTATGTAGACTAGAATACCAGGCTACCAGTATAAAAAGTAAAGACCGTCATAGCAAGTTATTAGCCAGTGTAATGTTGGATTTGATTTTCCCCACTCAATTTTTTTTTAAAAAGTAATTACTGACCTGTTGAAACAGACGACCTCTTCTCTGGTAAACTGGTTTTTGGACCCTTGAAGTGTCCACCAATTGAAAAGTGCTTTCATCCTCTTCATGGTAATAGGCATATTGACTCCCACCTCCAAATGCAGAATTGTATTTTCCTATTTAAGAAAAAACATTTTTAAAAAAAGATTAGAAAGGGAATACTAATCTAATACAGCACAAAATAAATTTTAAAGTACTGGGTCCTTATAGCATTGGCAGCTATTCAGACGCAGCATTAATTTGGTCTATAGGTAGGTGTTCAAATTACCTATATTAAAATGTATACCTTTAATGTCTATTTAATTTGAGTTCTTATGGATTTGTAGTGTATTAAATTGTTCTGTGGATTTATAAGGAGCAAGATCCAATATTTCTAAATAGCTGACATCTATCTACATAATTGGGTAATACTGCCTATAGCAGAGTGTGTTTAACGTGACACAGTGGAGAACACTCCTGCCTAATCTCAGTCACTGGTTCAAAGCCGACCATCACCTTCTTTGTTTTTCATTTTTACCCAGAAAACCTGAAGCTGGATTTGTTCAGAAAGAAAACCTTTCAACTCAACAAGTTGATTGGTCAAGTTTCTATCTTTTCTAAGTATAGATTTTTTTTCAATATTCAAGAAAAATGCCTATCATAAACATTGTTGCTTCTATGATTGGCCACTCATGTTTTTTTGTCGGCAGAAGAATGTCATGGATTACTGTCAGTTCATATTGGTTAAGATATTAGAATGGGCCTATAGCTTTTGTTGTAGAAATAAAATTATTATTTTAGATTGTGGAAGAAATTTTTTTACTCCCAGACTAAGCATAATGAAAACCATAAGCCTAATTGGGGCCATTGTGAGTTTACAAAGGTTTCTACTACACTCTACTACCATGCAACCAAGATTGGTGTTCAATCGTTTAATTTTATGATTGGAAAATAATAAAAACAAAAGATTCTAATCAATTGCGCGAGGTCAGAAATAAGTTCATAGGCTAGGGTAAAGCAGGGCACTAAGAGCTGTGTGGCATTATGACACAGTAAGCATCCTACCCCTACAAAACCCACAATGGAACCTTTAATCTACTTCTGAGGTAACAACCACTGCTGATCTTTGATAATAGAAATGCAGAGGACTCTTCTTATGTCATTTATGACCCACTTGGAGGGCTGCCTCCCCCAAAATTTTTTTTAGTAACAGGAGCATCAATTTTCCTTAATAATAATTGGATTTTGTCCGTAACTTTCAGTATTTGTTCACACTTTTATACAAAGTAAATAAGACTAACTTTATATTATTGCAAAACTTATCTGTGTAATGATGGTCATCTGCTATGTTACATTACTCATACTACTTTATTTTGAAGAAATTGACTAATTTAAAAAAAAAAGCCTTGAAATTCAGCACATAAGGCAAAAATGGAAAATCTCAAATAAGAATTGTTCTTGCGTTGAGCAGTATGAAGTTGGTTTACAGTCTACACTACCGATATCTAAACCTATGTGAACTCAGTGACCCCTTGACGGAATCAGAATTTCCCCCCGCTCACAAGAAAATGTGAGAGGCCAATCCCACAGTTGACGATGTTTGGAATTAGCATTTTTCTTTTTTTTTTAAATCTAGAAAAAAATATTTGTTAAATATGACCTGATTAATCTAGGTGGGCCTAGATATAATTAATTAGTTAAAACATTTGTCGCACATCACAAACATGCCTCCTTAAATATGACTTGCTATTTGCCCGTAATCCGCAGCTACATTTCGCCCTTTCGAGTTTTACTCACACACAGATAATTTAATAAATAAATAGAAACCTACGCTTGCATAGCTTAGGCTACTCTTTTATTATTTAAACCTCAGATTTATTTTCTTTAAAAAAATAAAGAGTAGGCCTACATTTAGAAGTAGTTATTTTCCATGCGCGACTAGACTTTCAATGGTTTAGACTGCAGACAATTTTTTTCGACAAGGACATCACCGTCTCATGAGGTAACACAGATGACTCGCTGGGTCAATAGTTCACAATATAAACACAATGCCACCTGTCGAGGCATGAGCGGGAAAGGAAAGGGGATTGTTTCGGAAGATGCTCAAAACAGTTGAACAGATAACACAAAGAAATTTTAACTAGCTAAATATAAAACTCAGACCGGGAAGGCAAAAGTGTAGCCTTTGTAGCATTATCGTAATCCTTTAATAAATAAATAATGACTCCCGGTGACATTGACATTTGTCAAGAATGATGTCGGGTATTTAGATCTAGAGCAAGATCTAGATATCAAGCGGCCATGGCTATTCGTACCCACATCGAAATAGATGCAGCCTAAATAGAAATTCTACACAAAAACAAAAAACAAGCCATTAGCATTAGACTACAAAATCCAAAAACTGCAAGAAAAAAAATGACTAGAGGTTGACGAATGTGACATATCACTATTGACAAAGACAGTACTGGAGTTTTAATTGGTATAAAATGAATGTATTAGCGTACCTAGATATCTTTTATCTTGATAAGTGCTTCCTGTCCAATCAGATACCTAAAAAAAAGATTTTTTTCAAACAATATTTTAAGAAAAAGATAATACATGATGAATCAAGCATATTGTATAGGCCTAACTTTAAATCTAGATCTAAGGCTAATTAAAACCACCTTTAATCTAGATTTCAATACTAAATAGATCTAGAGAATCTATTAACTAGGAAAACAAAGATGAGAGATTCAGAGAGAAGGAGAGCCTTGTTGCCGGTTCAGGCGGTTGACCTGTTTCAATGTCCAAAGAGACCATATTTTTACATCGATTTAACTTATTTAACAAGTTAATAATCATTACCTTTCCAAGACGAACATCTTTAGAAAAAGGCTGATAGGGCATATCTTTAAATTGATCGGGTATTTGATTGGGTCCCCATCCATTCGGGTTATCCTGAATTTGCGGCGGTATAAAGTGGGCTGTCGACATCTTTATTACAGAAACGTGAAGACTAGTCTGAAATCAATGTACGTACGCTTTCGACCTGCACTTATACTATGGTTAAATAAGGTGGGCCAAACTAAGCCAGATATTTTTATTCCGAGTTATTAATTTATTTGTTGGCTTAGAAGTTCTTAAGAGAAGTCTATAAAATTAAATACCTAATAAAAAGAAAATTAATCAATATAATGTAAGAACAATTAATTAGCTTAACCATATTATTTAAATATTATACATAGGCCCAGCCTTCTTTGAATTTGAGGTCAGAGGTTGGCAACCTTAAATTTAACCTTTTCAAAATTTGGTCGGTACTTCCATGTTGTGGTATCGATGCTGGTATCGCTACTTTAACCATCGGGAAAATGTTATTTTAATGAATTTAATCCTAAATTTTAGGTGTAACGTGTTTTACAAGCATTACCTTTCAGACAATTAAGCAAGAAAGAACAAATAAAATATGACTCGCCTCCCACAACTTTACATCTTCTTGTTTAATTTTTGTGGAAGCAGTAGCTAAGAGGGCGGTCTGCCTGCATTAATTGTAGGAAAAAAGTCACAGGAAAAAAAAACCCAGAAAAAAGTCACAAATGTGTATTTGTAGTAATTTGATAAGGGGTCGTCCATAAATGACGTCACACTCGTAGGGGGGAGGGGGTGGGTCCAAAAATTTGTAGAAGGTGTGTGATGAGGGGGGGGGGGGTGTTCAGATGGTGTGACGTCACACTTTTGCATTTTAAAAAAGCAATGTATTGTAAGAAAACGAGTTTAGCAGTTCTGTCGCGGTTTTACAAACTTTTTAAATAAATTGTAATAGGAATTGATTAAAATACTCTATGATGACAGAGTTCAGACAAGATTTTGGAAAAATATCGATGTTTTAAGAAAAATTCAACTGCAATTTTGAGGGGGGGGTGGTGGTGTAGGATGAGGTGTGACGTCATTTTAGGGGGAGGGGGGTCTGGCTTTTTGTGACGATGTGTGACGGAGGGGGGGGGGAGGTAAAAAGCGTCAAAAAAGCGTGTCATTTATGTGGATGACCCCTAATACTTTTAAGAAAAATATTCAGAAAGTGCAAATAAACTTATAAATTAATTAAATGTAATGTAAACATATTTTATTATATGAACGTAGGTAGTAGGCCTATATGCAGTGGCGTAGCGAGGTCGGGTGTCACCCGATGCGGCACTTAATGGTGTCCCCCCCCCCCCCAGAGGCGTAGCTACCCTTCCCAGGGACAAACTTTCAAATTTTCGATTTGCACCCCAGCCCTCGAACTTTTGATTTGCACCCCCCCCCCCTCAAGTTTTTCTCTATATATTTTGCTATTTTTTGCCTTGGTGTCACCCCCCTAAATGGTGTCACCCGGACCCGGTGCGGTCCGCACCCCCCGCCCCCCCCCCCTACCTCGCTACGCCTCTGCCTATATGTAAAGTAATATTTATAACATGTAAAAATATTTAGTAAGAAGTATGTACGTTTTAATACAAGCATTTAATAGAATTTAATAGAGTGTTCCAACCTTCTCGTTTTTATCGTGTTTTTTAAATACTAACTTTAGATTAGCGTGAAGTGGCACAAAGACATAGTTGATGTGACTTGCTGTCCTCAGCTCATCGCAACAATAGTTCAACCTCATGTACTGCCCACTTTAGTGACTTTTATCGCACTTATTATATAACAAAGCATAGAATCAAAACATAAAGCCAACATGGTACAAAGGCTGTCATTGACGCAAAACGTCAACATCGAATAATGACAGACAAGGCCAACTGAAGAGAAGCCGACTAAGAAAAGGCCTACAGCAAAAAGCATAATGCAAAACACAATGGTGTGCCTGAATTTCTTTTATAATTAATTTTTCTGTTTTCTTCCAGTTGATCTTTAAGCCTGTCTAGCCCTACTTCAGAGAGGGCTTAGATTGGACTGGACATGCAGTTGATAATATGAGAGGAGTCTGCTGTCTAGGTTCTCAAGTTTTTAAATTAGGGGTTCACTTTATGGACGGAGTTTTTTTCTTCTCAAATACAGTCGATAACCATCATGGCCAAATCGCATAGACTTGCAGTACTCCGGTTTCTAAGGGACACAATAAACAACCAACTTCCTTTCATCATGTAGATGTACATGGTCAACTTTCACGAAGTATTTCTTTTATCAAACCAGGATTAGTAAAAGGATTTTACATGATGGAGTTATTAGATCCTGCCAACTCACTGACACCATAATCCCCCAATCTTAATGCAGAAATGAAGTTGTATTTTATATACTGCCATTTGTTTTTCATTAAACTTAATTAAATTTTGTTAAGGGACAGTTTTTATTTTACATGACACCATGGAACGAATAATATTTATATATATACAATAAAAAACAAAGAAAAACTTTCTACTAAATAAACTTTTATTTCTGTAGCCCGTACTGCATTATCTTTACTTTTAAATCTGTTTGTTTCTGTAAGTCTCATTACAATTCCCCTATTATGCTATTAAAAATATCTGTATATAAATTATAGCTAAACAGTGTAGTCTACTAACCACCAACAATTTAACATGAATAATAAATAATTGCAACCTTAAAAATGCATGAATTTTAACAATTTGCATCCCTAAACTCGGCTAACAATGACATAACAAATACACACATTTTAACAATTGCAACCATAACCTAGGCAACAAAAACCTTTAAATACATACATTTTAACAATTGCAACCATAACCTAGGCAACAAAAACATTTAAATACATACATTTTAACAATTGCAACCCTTACTTAGGCTAACAAAAATAGGACAAATAGGTGAATTTTTACAACTGCAACCCTAACCTAGGCAACAAAAACCTTAAAAATGCATGAATTTTAACAATGGGAACCCTAAGCTTGAATAATACAAATATTTAAAATGCATTAAATATTAACCAAAAACAGACACATCAATTGGTTTCCAGCCCTTTCCAAATGACATCAATGTAAAAACATGCTTGCATAAAAAGGCACATTCCTGGATTAAAGATCTAAAAAAATATATTAAAATCCCGGATGAAACCTCTATGTCTATAGTCTATAGGCTGACACTAACAGATGACAAGACACCTTTACTCTATGATCTTCCTCAGATTGCAACACATCAAACTCTTGGGATAACTTCAATAAAAAAAACTGTAACTGTCAACTGTTCTTAATTTGAGCATCTTGTGACCTTTAAAATAATTCATTAGACACACATACATAAGAATAAAAGGTTATAAAATCCAATCTGGATAAGGCATATTTGCTAAATGCTATTAATGACGGTGAAAATTAATTTTAAACTGATACTGAATAGCCATTTATTTCGTAATAATGATAGGTGTTAATACTGGGATAACATATATTCAGTATCGAGCCTGAAAATATTCGATACTTAAACAATTTGAAGAGATAAGTTTTTCAGAAGATTTAGTTTAACTTAACTAATCTGAAAACTTGTATCAAGTTCATGAAAAGAGAACAATTCAAATTTCCAATTAAAATCATTCATACATTGCACTCAGCTAAAACAAAAGGCCATCTTTCAACACACTCGGTCGTTGTGTTTCCTCCAGTACAAGCTCCACCTGTGGTTTTTCTTTTTCTTGTGAGCAACATTTTATACTAATGACAGGTTAGGAATTCTTACCCTGAGGTGAGAAAGCCTTTATATGACCTTAAATAAAAAGATGAGGTAAGAATATCTATTCCTGTCCCTATATTCCCTTAACAAAAAGATGGAGTTAGCAAGACTTGCATGACCCTAATAAGACCAGATCTCCATGTCCTGGGCTTGTTCATTCCCTTCCAGGTTTTCTGTGAGTCATTATGATGAGCATACAAACAAGGCAACACTCTATTTACTTGCTCATTAAAAAAAGCAACTATCAAAATTACTAAATCACCTGTACCATGTCACTATGATGAGCATAGAAACAAGGCAATGCTGTCTGTACTTGCTCATTAAAAAAAGCAACTATCAAAATTACTAAATCACCTGTACCATGTCACTATGATGAGCATAGAAACAAGGCAATGCTGTCTGTACTTGCTCATTAAAAAAAGCAACTATCAAAATTACTAAATCACCTGTACCATGTCACTATGATGAGCATAGAAACAAGGCAATGCTGTCTGTACTTGCTCATTAAAAAAAGCAACTATCAAAATTCCTAAATCACCTGTACCATGTCACTATGATGAGCATAGAAACAAGGCAATGCTGTCTGTACTTGCTCATTAAAAAAAGCAACTATCAAAATTACTAAATCACCTGTACCATGTCACTATGATGAGCATAGAAACAAGGCAATGCTGTCTGTACTTGCTCATTAAAAAAAAGCAACTATCAAAATTACTAAATCACCTGTACCATTACAACAAGCCCAGGCCAAGAAAAATCCTATAATAAAATAAAATAAAGTTTACTTTTAAGCATACAGGTCAGCATAAAGAAACATCATAAAAGTTTTTAAGGGAAAAAACAGCAAACTTCAAAATCGTCTTCAACATATTTAAATTAAACCATACTCAATTCAGCAAAGAAAGCAAAAAAAGACATTAAGTTTATAAAGTTTTGAAACTATGATAAGCTGTTGCAAAAATGTGTATAAAAGTTTTAAATGATATGTATCAGCAATGAAATATTAAATGATTACCAAAGCCTTTAAAAACATTCAGTTGTAAAATAAAGGTAAAAAAAAGCTTTGTTGGTAAAAAGTAAACAATCCTTAAAAAGCTCCAATTATAATTGTATAAAAATATTCTCCTGAATAGTGTGGGTCAACTACAAGATGTTAATAAAGTTAACACTCCAATGAGAATGAATAAACTCTTCACAATGACATTATTGAAATGTTACAATATCCAAACATTGATATGCAAAATAAATATGTTAACAAGCTTATGACTAGAGTAATGGGTGATCTCTCTCTTATATACAGAATGATTGCACAGTGAACATAAATAAATGGACGGCCATTTAAAAGAAAAATATTTTGGCTTTCATTTAGAGATTATAGTTTTTAATTTAACATTTTTTTTTAATTTAACAGTTTTGAAAAAAATAAATACAACATTTTCACAATATTTAAAATGACTGAAGTCTCTCTACGTCAAATTTTTTAAAACGTGAAATGCTTAGAGATCCTAGGGAACATCTTGTAACTCAACAGATTTTTTAATAGGCAGTCTTGTGCATTTAAATTGCATTTGAATACTCAGATAATGCACTTGCAGTAGATAATGTATTCGTTAAATGAACATAAAACCTTCATTATTAATTAAAAATATTGCAAACAAGGGTCACTCAATAACTTACTTCACTAAGTTGGCAAAACTAATAGAAACATATTATTTCAAGTATATAAGTACTTTAATATTTTAAACTTAAGAAATGAATAATTTTAATAGCAAAAAAAAAAAAGACATTTTTTTGGTAGAAAAAGCCCGGATTGGTCACGTTTGTAAACATGCTTTAAAAATGTGATTGTTTCATTGGTCCCGTACTGCATTAAAAATAGTGCAATATTTAAAAAAAATAAAAAATTAAGCCAGCTTTTGGTAACGGTAGTTTTTTTTTAAAAACATTTCTGAGTTTAGTGACACAAGTAAAACTTATTAGTAAAATATATCATATCATTCACATGAAATTATTCAAATAAATTAATGATTATATGCTACAAAAACAAATTAATTTAAATTATGTGAGTTGAGGAGGTCATCGGTCAGCTGTAACCAGTCTTAAGTATGTTTGAACAAAAAAAAATTATGATATGTCTGATATGTCAAATAGAGCCAATCTGTATAGAACAAAAGTTCTTTGTTTTGTTCTAGGTCTTTACATTCTGTACATATGATGTATTTTAAAAACTAGACTTGAAATAATTTAAAACTTTGGTTTTGAAGAATAATTATAATAATAGAAAAAAAAATAAGGAGGTGAGACGTCTCATTTTGGTCACATTTCTATTTTAAAGTTCCGGAACTTCTTCTGTGTTGGAAGACAGGTACACTCCATCAGCTCCCTGGAAATAAAAATAGTTGGACATGTAAATAATACTTTTAGTCACTCATTAAACTTAGACAATTTAATAGTAATAAATGTATTGCCATGGAAGATAGTGGGACATTAATTATGGGTGAAATTCCCTGTCAGCTGTACAGCTGTGTAGCTTACAGTGCAATCACATTTTGTAAAACACATGTAACCTTGTAACAAAACACATATTGCACACAAGCTTTTGCTCTTTACATAAATATATTTTTATTTATGTAAATCAGTGTTTTTGTTGGGAAGATAGGTAGTAAAAATAGATGTATTAAAAATACTGCATGACAACCTGAACACATTTTACATTTTGCTTACTTAGACAATAAAAATGGCACACACCTGCCAATTTTATCAAGACTGTATGAAAAAGCAAGAATAAAAAAGGCAGTATATGAAATTTTGCTCACACTCCACACCTACCTCTTTACCCACACAAGTAACACAAGAAAATAAAAGGAAGCATACATACTTTTGCTAACACCCGCAATAAACCAAATGATAATAAATTAAAGAAAAAAGGCAGCATATCCGTAATTTTCCTTACATGCCTACCAATTTACCTAAACAGAAGTAAAGAACGAAAAAAAAGGCAGCATGCATAATTTTGTAATTTTGCTAACATGCCTGCCAATTTATCTATCCACAAACTAGTTAAGAAAAAAAAAGGCAGCATACGTAATTTTGCTTACATGCATGCCAATTTAATTATACACAAACAAGTAAAGAAAAAAAAAAGGCAGCATGCGTAATTTTGCTCACACACCTGCCGTTCACACACCTCTTGAATAAGTGAAGACAGACAGAGCAACTGTTGCTTGAGTGTGGTTAGATCTGACTGCATTTGGTAATAGGTTTCTGTAGGTATAACAATACACTCAACACCATCCACCATCATTTTACGTGCAGAGGATAGAGGGGAGACCAAATCTTCAGTGCTTTCCACCAAATGTCTGTTGATATAATACACACAATGAATTTTTAAAAATAGAGAATGTGGTGTTACGAATCTCTATGGTAACAAAGTTTAATAGTGATAGCTAAGTTTACAAATATAATATTTTTGGTTCAATAATGTTTTAAATAACTTTTATACGTATTAATTTAACTTTTGCCAAGAAATTTTTAATATTTATAAATTATATTTGCTAATTAAGGCAGATATAATTAAACACTATAAGGTGTTTTTTTAAGTATATTTAAGCCAAGAGTAATTTTTATTGAAACCAAAGCTTGCATATAATATGAAGACCTATTTATACTTGGGATTTTAAAAAGTACTAATTGATTATTAAAATAAACATGGCTGGGTAATTTTTAGATCAGTAGAATACCTAACTCTGCTGGGTAATTTTGAGACTGCCAATAAATTGTGGTACTAGTAGAATACCTAATGCTGCTAAGCTATTTTGAGACTGCTTTACTGCTAATAATTAAGGGAACTAGTACTAGTAGATTACCTAATACTACCAATAGTTTGTAGAACAAACTGAATACCTAATACTGCTGTAGGAGAGGGATGTGGCCCTACTCAAGCTGTCCAGGTCTAGGCTTGCCATGTCCTCCTCTGTCCCACAGTCTAAGGCCTCACTGCTGGAGTCACTGAGCAACACACCACGACTGCTTAAAGACGCGGTGCGCTTGTGGGAGTCTAGTCAACACCAGAGAGGTAACACAATTAGATACATTGCACCAGTTAACCACAAAGCAATAACTCAAAGCTGTTTAGCAAATATAAAATTAGCTATCTCTAGATGACTATTATACATTTGTAAATATTAAGCTACATTATAATCATATATTAAATGAAGCTATATTTAAGTCATAGGTTTAGTTGAACCTATATTTAAATTATATATATCTTACCAGCTGAAGCTACATTGCATTTATACATTTAATTAAACTTGATAGATGATACAAAGCTTTTCTATAATTTTCACTGTTATTGCAGGGCAAATATTTAATTTATAATAACAAAAATCTACAGAAACTAGAACAAACATCACTTACTTTTTTTAGGCTTTTGAACAAGTAACGGCTCAGATGTTGACGTGTTACTGTATGTGAAAACACCAGATGATTCCTCAGACATGACAGACTCACTGTGGACAGTTCCTGAGATCGTTGCATACAGTTTAGACTCATCTAATTCCCCAGTCGCGTGGGTGGCAAAAGAGACATTTTTAGGCAAGCTGGCTGTCTTTTTGCTTGCTGCATTAGACTTGTCAGAAGAATGAGAACACAACTGCTCACTTGTAGGGGATTCATGCTCACACGGGTTATCGCACACATTTTGAGAACCACTGTCAACCCCATTTTCATAACAATGAGCCTGTTCAAACGACTCAGTGTTGTTTGTGTTCTCACTTAAGTGCTGCCCTGATGTACAACAGTACTCGTTCGAGTAGAAGTCACACCTACAGATAGAGTCTGTGATGTCTAGTATCTCACTCAACAGACTTCGTCTCTTGCCAGATTTGCTGGAAGGCGAAGAATTTAAATTGTTCTCCATGGAGTCAAACTGTGCAAGCGGGGCTTTGACGTATTTCTTATTGTTGATAGAAATGTCTGAGACGTCAAGCTTGTAGCCCTCGGAGAGCGAGAGTAATGTTAATGCCATTTCTAGACTGTCAGTGGACCTTATGGAGATTCTCAGGTTTTTATCTTTACGACCACCGTTTGCTTTTTTGAGACTCGACTTGAGTTGGAGGTCATCGGACACGACATTGTCTTCAGATTTATTACAAACCTGACCGTTTGATGTGTCAGTCGTATGAGATGGGGATTGTTTTCTCGGGGAGTGGTTGCCGTGGGTTTGGCAGTTGGGGTTGACGCCTGGCTTGCCCGCCTGCCTGGGTCCACACAGACAGTATGTGTCGGCCAAGAGGGCAGTGAAAGCGCAATCGTCCAGCTTGAAGTTCCCACACCTGCTGCAAGACCCGCGGCTGAGGCGCTCCAGCCTTTTGGCCAGCTGGCTTTGTTTACTCACTGAATCTGTCGTGGTTACAGCATCATCAGCGGCTGTGCCAATACTCTCTATCCCACTATCAGACGGCGCGACCCCTCGGTCAATACGTTTCTCATCTGTCTGTTCTGGAAGAAGTTCAGGTGTGGAGGACCTGGAATCCTCCCCCAGGGAGCTGTCAATCTTAGAAACAGCTGTACCTGTTTCGGCAGGGGCGTCCTCTGATGTTTTATCCCCCTCACACAAGGGCACACTTTCTGCTGTCAGTGCGTCGGTGTCACACTTCTTCCTTTTCAGCTCTCTCTTTGATTGTGGTGGTTTGCTTTCAGATGCATCTTTTGAGTAGCACGTCCCCATGGCAAACCAGAGTCAATTCAGCCTGAAGCAAAGAAATATTTTGTTATGTAGGCCAGCATGTTGTTTATAAAGTTATAGACATATTATGCATTGTAAAGTGATAAATGTTTCATTGTTAAATAGAAAAGAGGTGAAACACCAAGATAATTTCTCACATCAACCTACTTTTAAAAATGAAAGTCATGGTAATGATATGCATAAAAAAGACACAAAGCCATGTTTTCCTTTTTTTTTTTTACAAATTTTTGTGGTCATACTGTGGTCATTTGGAAAAAAATTACTTTAATAAGCTTTACTTTGCTAAATCTGCTAAATATTTATATATAACAGCAATGGGTGATCAGTGCTTGTTGTATGCCTACCATTAGTTGTTTATTTGTCTAATACTGGGTGTATTGGAGCAGAAGATAATGGAAGAATTTCCTGTTAACATAATGCCAGCAAAATATTTATTGCATTAAACGAATATTATATACTCTTTAGTTACTAAATAGTTTCCACCAATAGAATAAAACAAAAAAAAAGCATGTATTATAAGTAATAACTTGGAGTAGGTGACAACCAACAACTTAACTGTTTCCCTAAAACCCACTATTTGTTTAGATGGGATGAAGCTAAGTGAATGAAACTTTTGTGTGATATGGTGGAACTTATGTCAACAAAAAGGGAAAAAAATAATCACTGTTTTACAAAGGAATGTGGGTTCAAAATAATAGCTATTTAGTAATATGCGCATTTAATAATCAAGCAATTTTCAGGCTAGTAATTTATTTTGATAATAAAACTTGGTATCACATTATAGGCAAACAACTGCAGGAATTAACTGTTGAAAATTATGACACCTTATTTAATAACATAAAATAATTTTATTCCAATTTTACAGCAGAAAGTACCATAATCTGATACATTAAATCTACAATTAATCAGGAAAAACAAAACCTACACATCTTACATTTTTAAAAACATTTTTTATTACTACTACTAAGTTAATAACCATTGTTCAATAACAAAAATCGTTTTCATGTTTTACTAAAAGCTATTAAGTCATCAAAATACACAGCACATAATTTAAAAACAATAAAACATGTTCTACCTTAACCAAGAAATAAGAATGAAAAGTTACGGAAAACCAACATTTTTCTTTTGCCCAGATTAACCGCCTTAGCAGCAAGGCAAAAAGAAAAACAAGTTACCTGGTTTTTTCTGAAAGGTTTGGTGATAAGACCAAAAGGTAAATGGAGCTTTTGTTACAAGTGACCTTAAGACAGTGGTCTAAAAGTCACACAGGCACAGAGCTGAGGGGAGGTAATGAGCACCATTCTGTGAGCTTATCACTGAGCTCTTTCAGTTTAACATTTTCAGGACAATTACCTCAACACTGCCAATGACACAACCAAACATTTAGCATACAACTGTTTTTTTTTAAACCAATGACCCAAAAAAAAAAAACTCTTTAACCCACTAGTAAGTTAGTTTTAAGTCAGAAAACAATTGGTTGGAGACTTTGATCTATTGAATCTCAATCCATAGAGTAAATCAACACTTGCGAACAACTTTGACCCTAAACAAATCAAAAACCTTTGTTTTTTTATGGTTTGAAAAAAAAAGCACTTGTATATGCCATCTTGTATTCAAATACATGATTTTATTTTAGTCCTTGAGATCCATGAATGTTAGTGATTGATCTCATTGCACATAGCTTTCGTGGATTGCTTTCAGCTCATTAATAACATGCTTTTTTGCACCACAGTAACTAGACTGCAAGTTATATTTTCTGTAAATTTACCCTAGATCTTGTCTGATAGGCTACATTAATTGTCAATTCTGTCGTCAATCTTTTACATTGCCGAGGCTCATTAAAAATGTCATCAAAGTGTTATTCTTCTCAAGTTGTGTTTTACCCTGCACCAAAATGAGACATTTTTTCCACGAATTTGGAGGCTAGACTGGTACACACGACTTTGGAGCTGGTTTATCAAAGTAAAAAGAAGCACACATCTTCTTAAAAGTAAATGTTCTAAGAATAACACAAAAAACCAACATACCTACACTGTCACAGGTCCCTATACTGGTTCACTCTCACATTCTACTGACACAGTTCTTTCATCAAACACGTCTTAGATTTATGGACAACACCACCACAGCCTAGGCTAACGCCCTGTGTTTGTCTTCTGTCGACATTCTTCATCCCATATCACAGCTGTCATCAAACGATCTCTGAATTCAATCGTTCTCTACCCCTCTCTCTCTGGCATTCTGCATGCATTTCACAAGTACTGTATTTGACCTTCATACTTAGAGGATATTATTAAAATATACATTATTCTTTTTTTTAAAAACAAAAACCACTTAGTAGATTTCTCCGTCAAGCTGTTTCTCTGTTTTGGCATAATGAGACCATGTTATGAGCTGGTGCTGATGGGGCCATATGTGCTGATGCTGGTGAGGCCATGACATGTGCTGCTGCTGGTGAGGCCATGACATGTGCTGATGAGGCCATGACATGGGCTGGTGCTGATGAGGCCATGACATGTGCTGGTGCTAATGAGGCCATGACATGTGCTGATGAGGCCATGACATGAGCTGGTGCTAATGAGACCATGACAAGCGCTGATGGGGCCATGACAAAACATGTGCTGGTGCTAATGAGCCCTTTTAACTATGTCATTATTTGGGTTAGATAAATTTCCTTCAATATAATTGTTTTAACTGCCTCTTATAAACTGAAGGAATACTTTGCACTACAATCAAAATGTTTTTTTTTCTAAAATATTGTTATGCCAGGATCTAAATTGCTTATTAGTGATTGTAAAACAGGTCCATTTTCTTGTTTAATAGACTCGCCAGAACATTTTACTTCAAAGCAATAATTTTTAAAGGGCTCGAAATAAAACATTCAAATTCAGATTGGCAGCTTTGAATAATGCAAACTAGTCTTAAATGTTTTGATTTAAATCAAATTTTGTCATCCAGGGCCAGTTATTGATTATCCAATTAAAGCAAGAGTTGTAAGTTGTGCAATAACATTTAGTTCTTCAAGATAACTTTTGATATTTCACTTTAAAATTTGAAGATTGATTTTTGGATACATATGGTAGAAGATTATGTCTACAAAAAACTATAATGCCAGATAAATGGAGCATTCTCTTTCCAAGATGTCATAAACATTCCAATAGGAATATCTACACTTTTTACAACATAATTAAAACTTGGTGTTCTCCGGTCATCATGATAATGTACTTTGGAAATATCCATCAAACAGTGAATAGCTTTTGGGCCTACAGATGCAGTTGAAGTGGTGCCTGATGTTTTTTCATGATCTAAAAGTTATTTTCTTGCCGTTGATGCAAAGCCATCAAGAGTATTCACATGGCATTTCAGGTATAAAATTTGAGTATCCAATAAAATATTTAACTGCTATATAACTCAGTGGTTAACTGGAGCTAGAAGAAATTTTTTTGAATCATTGATTGTCAACATTGGCGTATGGAATTTTTCTCTCGACTAGCATATAAAGACACTGTTGAGATAGAAAAATATGATGTGAGTAACCACAGGCCTTAACACCAAGCCTTTCTCTGACATCCAAAATTAGGGGTTTGTTTGGAGATCTTGATTTCATCCCACAACAAGGTAACATTTTTATTCAACATCATAGCTTCTCCTATATGGAGATCAGCTAAAATGCCCAGCTCTAAAAACATCTGTGCCACAGTGGTTTGGTGTATGGTACAGATGAAATTTTTTTTACCAGTGATTGTTTCCATAAAACATTCTAGAAGGTTACCAACATATGCATCAGACACATTACACAGCAGTGACTTGTACAATACAGGCCTGGGTCAAACTGCCCATTTTTGTAACTACATGTTCTTTACTTTTAATCTTCTTAAAGCAGCTAGAAAAATCATCTATTATCTATGACTTGATTTAGAGATATAATGTTGTTGCAGCTATTTGCAGAATAGTGGGAATCAACCACTTTCAGTGCCCATAACACACAGCAGTGATGGTGTCGTCATTGGTGATGTGCTTCTTGATTGAATTTGAAGCTTGGACAGGTCTGGACAGTACAGATTCATTCTCATTGACAGATTCTGGCACCAAAGACTATAAAGTGGAAGGAGATGGAGCATCCCTCTTTCTAACTGCAGAAAATGAAGCTATAGAGAGGCAACCTGATGAAGTAGCACGCTGAGAATGCTTCTCCGATTTTGCATGCGACTTTATAGCCACTCCTCCCATATTAGTGATGTCAATGGACTTCTTGCAAAGTTTGCAATAGCCCTTCTTATCAGAGTCTTGCTGAAGCCACGATTTGTAGTTGATATTATCAAGCCACACAGTGTTGAATGAGCAAGTGTACTTCGGCATTTTTCAGTCGAAACGATGTAGATCATAAGATCTAGTCTAAATTAAATCTAGATTTAAGTAACACAAGAAAAAATGAATCCAAAAACAGAAAAAATCACGAAGTAGAAAAGATGATGTACCCCGAACGTTGAAAAAAATATTCAAAAGAACGATAGATCAAATTCGACGCATACCTATATATAATATATTGATAAATTTATGGAAGCCCGGTATGCATAGACGCAGAAATGTAGATATACGTATCGATTCCACTTGCCCATCCTAAAATTACTATTCATTGATTGGCGGAACAAAATCAAATAATTTTGGTTGGGTTTTGCCGGGCTATTGAAATTTCATGAGAATTTTTAAAATTTCATGAGAATTCCAGGAGGTTTTTATATTTTTTTTACATTTCATGAGAATTCCTCCTTGAATTTCAGGAGGCCGCACGAACCCTGACTGAGGTCTAGCTTTTTTAAAACAGATACAAAGCATAAAGGCCCCTCACTGAATATTGTCTTTGGGCATCGAATCCATATCAAATGGTTTAAGCTCTCATTGGTGTTTTGTGTACCACCATGGATAAGTCTTTTTTATAAGCTGTCATCAGTCATCCACCGGTAGATCGGAAACATTTTGTGGGCCACAGACAAAGATAAGAAGGTA